TTGGGAATTTAGTGCCTTTTGGCTCACAAAATCTGTGGGGTGAACCAGGCATGATGGCGCATACCTATAATCCTAGTTAGTTGGAAGGCAGAGGTTGGAGACCAGCCCAGGAAAAGTGAGTGAGACCCTATCTCAGAAAACAAAATACAAACAAAGGGGCTGGGGGTGTGGCTCAAGTGAGAGAGTGCTTGTATAGCACGCAGGAGAGCTTAGGTTCAGACACCCCCTATCCACACACACAAATACACACTAATCCTGAGGGGTGTGAACCTATCTGCCCCTCTGTTCTTGTTTCTCCTCATCTCTGACTGAATGCTAGCGGGTGGGAATCCTGCCTGGCTCTATGGTGGCTCCTCCATGATGCTTCTGCTGACAGTGGATGTGGCAGACGTGAAGTGTGTATCACTTCCGAGGTTAGGTTATAAAAGGCACTGGAGCTTCCAGCTTGGGTGTGACCACTTTCTTTTGGATCACTTGCTGTGGAGAGAGCCAGCAGAGAACCCTGTGGCGTGGCTCATATGGGAGGATCTGAGGCCTCTAGCCTCCTGCAAGTCTTCAGACATCTCAGCCCTGGTTGCCTTTTATTTATTTGTTTGTTTTTTTGGGGCGATACTGGGGTTTGGACCCAGAGCCTGGCACTTGCTAAGCCAACACTCTATCACTTGAGCCATGCCCTGAGTCCTTTGTGCTTTAGTTATTTTTCATATAGGGTGTCATGTTTTTGCCGGGCCAGCCTGGGCCCACAATCCTCCTATTTCTGTTTCCTGTAGTAGCTGGGATGACAGGTGTGTGACATCAGGCCTGGCTTCCTCTTGATGCAGCTCCTGAGAAAGCCTGAGCCCCAGCATCTAGCCAGTCTGCTCCCAAGCTCCTGACTCCCAGAGACCATGAGGTGATGCATGTTTTTTTTTGTGTGTGTGTGTGGGGGGTTGGTCAATTTTTACACAGGATGAGGTATCTAATAGCTGTGAGGTGTTGGTTACGGTTCCTAGCCTCTGAACCCGTTTCCCCTTTGAGGGTTATGGAAGTGAGTGAGGAATACATGAAATGTCAAAGGCCAAGTGCAGCCAGCTTTCTGTATACACCAAGCAGTCTCCCATTGGTGGTTCCCAGCATCCTCTTGCCCCTCCATGACCTCACAATATCAGGCCAAGCTGCTGCACCCTTGGCTTAAGACAAGAAAGGAACAGAAAAGGCAGTCCCTCTCCTTTGTCCAGCTGGGATGCCAATGACCTGTGCTGGGGCAGGTGAGACCATCTCTCCTTGTTGTCCCTTGTCCTGGGATGGTCAGCCAGACCCAACCCACACAGGTGCCCTGCCTATCTAGAGGTAAAAGGAGCTGCTTGGCTGGGCCTTGCCTGAGTCTCCTCTGCTGGCTGCCCAGCGAGATATTCTTAAGAGCTGGGCACTGGTGGCTCACTCCTGTAACCCTAGCTACTCAGGAGGCAGAGATCAGGAGGATCAAGCTTCGAAGCCAGCCCAGGCAAATAGTTCGAGAGACCCAATCTCAAAAATAAAATAAAGCATCACAAAAAAAGCACTGGAGGAGTGGCTCAAGTGGTAAGAGTACTTGTCTAGCAAGTGTGAGGCCCTGAGTTCAAACCCTAGTACCACCAAAAAAAAAAAAAAAGTACAATGTTTAAGAGAACAAATAGTACCCAAAAGGCTTGTAAGAAAAGCAACAGTCCCCCCTCATTCCTCCCTTCTCACATCCTGCTTATTACCGTTTCCAAATTTTTTCCTGTTATTTATGGCCGTCTTTGTAAATAATGCCTTTATGTGCCAATCCATCATTTGTGGTTATTACCGGTTAACTTTCTGTTGAAGAGGTGAGGGTTCAGCTCTCTTATATCCCACCACAACCCCACCTTCTGTCAAGGGGGAGCATGACCATAGGGGTTGAATCTGGTCATGACTGTATACACCACTCACAGGGGAGAGGGCTGAGAGGAGGCGTGAGCTATGACTGGGGCTTCCTTTCTGGTAGAACTATTTTCCTGGAGCTTTTTTGTCTGTCAGTTTCTCAGCTGAACTTTGTATGTGGCAAGAATCTATCATTGTCAGTATTTTTCTGGAGTCCTCTGGAAGCCTGCTCCACTTGGCTCTGGGTGCTTCCTGCTGACAGCTTTTATCCTAGGATTTCTCCTCACCATCCATGTAAACCTGGACCTCCTCCCTGGGCACTCTCAAAACCCCATTTTACCCAATTTTCTCCTTCACACGTATTGTCTTTGAATATGTCATAAGATTTGATTATTTATCAAATTTGCTTCTTCCCTTAGTATTGGAGTCCCACAAGGGTAGAGCTTTTTGTGTTTTGTTCACTGGTAATCACCATTGTCCAGCACAGTGCCTGACAAGGGAAGCTCACTGACTGTTTGTTGAGTGGACAGATTCCGGGGCCGGGGCCTCCTTCCAGTATACTTCTCTATGTTCTTTGCGTCTTGTTTCCTGGGTCTCATGTCTTCTTTCTTGGTTTGTTTCCTTCTTTGGTGGAGTACATCTTTCAGTAACTTTCTGAGAAAGGGCGTGATCTCTCTCTCTCTCTATGTTTCAAGTTACTGTGTAGTCTGGAAATTGTTTCATGTGTGAATGGCAATGAACATGGATTATCTATCTTGTGATATTGTAACGGGAGCTAAGAAAGACAAATCATACCAACTGCTTAGCATTCTCTCAGGACAAATTTTTATTACTTTGTGAAGAGCCAAATAGATATTCAAGAAAAGGTGTTGGGAGACAGTTGAATACAGAGGCTAAGAGGCATGAAGCAGAGTTGGTCAGGTCTGGTTTTGAGACTTGTGCTCTGTGACTTACTAACTCCATGACAGAGTTGACAAGTCATTTCTGCATCAGGTTTTTTGGAGGTACTGGGATTTGAACTCGGGGCCTCACACTTGCTAGGCAGGCGCCCCACCACTTGAGCCACTCTGCCAGTCCTAGCATCAGTTCTTCAGGTTGGAATGATCATAGTAACAGTACCTAGTGCTCCTGGACATGTTGTGCTGTGAAAGCAAACACAGCTCTTAGGTAGCAGTGTTGGTCATCGTCCTCGAACATGTATGCTGGCAAGAGCTGTGTCCACCTTGAGCTTGTCAGGATGAGAGTGTAAACTGAAATGCCTTTTATGGGGTAGAATAAGCAATTGGGCAGTATGAATTATACTTTGACCCACCAATTCCATATGCTAAGATTTTATTCTAAGGAAATAAGGGTGTGCCTGGATTTTGGTGCAGGGCCTTGTTAATGAGAAAAATAAGACGAGACAAAGTAAAACTGGGAACCATTTTAGTGTCTGTTAGGAAAGAGATTGACCAACACATGGACTCATAAATATGTATCCCATCTAGAAAGAGAGTATTTCTCCATCGGAGTCCTCTGCAGCCTTCACAGCGGAGGAAGACAGCAATGAGGTGATAGGAGAGCTATATAGGATACAGGATGATACATTGTTAAGTGAAAAAGCAAGTATCACAACACCATGGACAGCTTGAGCCCTTCTGGCTGATAGGGGTTAGGATTTCCTGCATGTGTTTTTTTTTTTTGACTGTACTGGGGCTTAGACTTGGGGCCTACACCTTGAGTCCTTTTTTTGTGATGTGTGTTTTCAAATAGGGTCTCAAGAACTATTTGCCTCAGGCTGGCTGGCTTAGAACTGTGATCCTCCTGATCTCTGCCTCCTTAGAGCTAGGATTACAGGTTTGAGCCACCGATGCCTGGGTCAGGCCTGGCACTTCTAGTTGCAGAACTGCCCCCCCCCTCATATCTCAGTTTCTTCATCTGAAAACTGGGCAACAATATCAGGGATGCTTGTTTAGGGTAAATGAAATCAGACATGAAAATTCCTACTTAGAGTAAATGCCGAGTAGCAGCTAGTGGCTATGACTGCTGCTCAGCAATTCATTATGATTTGTTTATCCCATGAATTATTACTGCTGTATATTGTCTAACTTTTTTGAGACAGGGTCTTGCTATGTTGTCCAGGCTGGCCTTGAACTCCTGAGCTCAAGTGATCCTTTTGCTTCAGCCTTGTGAGTGGCTGGGGGTATAGATGTGTACCACACTGCACCTGGCTTTACATTTTTATTTTTAAAAATAAAGATAGGAGTGGGAATGTAGCTCAGTGGTAGGTAAAGTGCTTGCCTAGCATGCACAGAATCCTTGGGTTGACACCCAGCACCTGGGAGTAGGGGAAGGGGGAGGAAGAAGAAGAAGAGTTAAGATGGTAACGTTTGGTGCCAGGCGCTGGTGGCTCCTGCCTGTAATCCTAGCTTCTCAGGAGGCAGAACTCAGGAGGATCGTGGTTCGAAGTCCGGGCAAATAGTTCCGTGAGACTCTAGCTCGAAAAATCCTTCACAAAAATAGGGCTGGTGCAGTGGCTTAAGGTGAAGGCCCTGAGTTCAAGCCTCAGTACCGCAAAAAGTGTTTGTTTGTATCTGAACGCAATTTAAAAGCCCAAAATTATCATCATTGACAATGACAACAAAAGAATCCACAAAAACATTTATAGGCAAAGACAGGTTCTGAGAGTGTCCGGGACTGTCATCAGTGATATTATAGTTTGTTTCCGCCTCATATATGACTCGGTAGCTCAGTCTCCCTACGCAATCATTCGTGGGCTCTGAAACTCGCTGAGTTGTGTTTCGGCGTTCACACAGGGCCGGTCGCGGGTTCGAGCTGAGCCTTGCCACTGCATCGGGCGTGACCTTGGCTGCCAGGCTCCTGAGCCTCAGTTTCTCAGTTTCTGGGAGCCGGGATGACAGCTTGGCTTGCCCCGCTCTGCCCCGCCCCGCGGCCCCGGATTGGCTCGCGCCGGGGCCCCCCTCCTCAGGCGGGTCGGGCCCCAACCCGGAAATGCGGCTCGGGGCGGGGGCGGGGCCCGCACGAGCCGCGGCGAGCGACGTCGGAAGTGGCCAGTGGGTGCCGGCAGCGTCGACGACACGGCGGAAGTCCCGCCTGGCGTTGCGCGGGGGCGGGGCGACGCCGGGGGTGGCGGGCGGCGGGCGGCGGGGCGGGCGCAGGATGAGGGCGGCCATTGCTGGGGCTCCGCCGCGGGGAGGAGAACGCTGAGGAGGCGCCGAGCCGCGCAGCGCTGCGGGGGAGGCGCCCGCGCCGAAGCGGGGTCCATGGCCAGGACCACCAGCCAGCTGGTGAGCGCGCGGCGGTGGCGGGACGCGCCGGCCCGTTATCCGAGAGCGTGGCGGTCGTCCGGGTCCGGCGAGGCGGGGCGGCCCGGTGCTGCGGGCCGAGCGGCGCCTCACCTGCGGCCGGGCGGCGAGTAGGACCGTTGGCGCCGGCCGGGGGCGCCGCTCTGCTGCCGCGGGGAGCGCTGGCCCCGGCTGGGGCGGACGCCGGGCGGCCGGGGGCGCTGACAGACGCGGAGGGCGGGGGAGGCCGGGAGTTGTCACCCGGTCGGTCGGGGTGGAAGTGCCTGGAAAGTTTGTTTTCGGCTCAGCGCAGCCTGGAGTAGAGCCTCTGGGCTCACCTTGCGGTCCTGCCTGCGGAGGAGCAGCCCCCGGCCTTCACTTTGGAGCTGCATCCCGGGAAGCAGAAGGTGCGGGTTCCTGCTTTGAGCACCTGATGCTGGCGGCCCAGTTTCCAGATTCTTGATTAGGGTGGTCTGGGACGCGCTTCTCTCAGGCGGAGATTTGGGCGCTCCTCCTGCCCGTGGCTTTGCTCAGTGAGCTGGGAAGCCCCGGGAAGCCGGGCTCGGAGGCCCTGCTGAGGGGAACGTGAGTTTGACAGGGAGGAGGGGTTTTAAGGGGGAAACAAAACAAAACAAAACAAAACAAAAAACCAACCACTTGTTGGGTGAAATGTTTCTATGTTCTCCTTGTGTTGCCAAAAGTATCAGCGTTTTTATAATTTCTCTGTTAAGTCCTGGAGCCTTTGGTGGGTGGTATGAGCACGTACACCGTGTGGTGTGCGATGTGAAGTGGGTGATGGGAAAACGTCAGACAGCTAGTAAGATTTGCTTCAAAAGGACTGGGGGTGTAGCTCGGTGGTGGAGTGCTTGCCTAGCATGCACAAGTCCCTGGCTTCAGTTCCTACCACCGCAGGGATTCCTTCATTGAGGAAGACCCATGAAGCTCAGTTAGCCTCTTATCTTTCAGGAAGCGGCTTGTGGTAGCAGTTCTTAAGGTTTTTGGAGGCTCATGAGCCCTGTTGAGAATCTGAGGGAAGATATGGGCTCTTTTTCTGAGAAGAATGCAATTACACCGAATTCTTACTACTTCAGGCGGCTTTTGAGCTTTCTGCAGCTCATGTACTATAGTTTACAGCCTTGCAGTGCAGAAATGGGTGATAATTAATCCAAAGTTTTGAAGGAGGACCTGTCCAGTTGAGAAAAATGGTGAAAGGCGAAACGTCTTTGACTTTTCAAATGCAACATGTGTGGCTGTACCCCGGGATACCTGGGTTAGCATGCAGAATTAGGCTCCAGCGTAACCTCTGTGGAGACCGGGGTGACCGTCATCACTAACGTTTGTAAAGTGAACTTTCACACGGTGATGCTGTTGCAATGCAAGGTGTGTATTTGATGGTGTCTGTGGGAAGAGGAAAAGAGCATAGTTTCTCATGGCTTTGGTACTTCCGTATTATGGACATTTGGAGTTTACTTCACATCACACAGCTTTTTTTAGGGGAAAAACACTGGGCTCCGGTGGTCAGAAGGCACAGACCAGAGGATAGACTTACCCATAAGGAAGTGAGAGGAACTAGGCTTTTCATCTTTGTCATCTAGACGTGCTCATGTGTGAGAATATGCCATATGTCCTGTCAGTAATGGCAGAGACAGTCCCAATGTTGGGTTTTCACCTGAAGAAAGGTAGATGTGCACAGTTCAAGTAGCCTTGCACTTTGACTTTAATCTGGCATGCTGGCACTGAGAAGCCCCGTCCCAATGAACTGTCCCACGAGTCTGTACTTGTACAAGCAAAAGGGGGAGTAATATGAGCTGAGAAGGTGGAAAATTTCTAGCTCAATCTGCCACTAAGGGGGCCAGAGGCTGTAAGTCCCATTTAAGGCAGGCACTTTTCTATGTACTTCATTTAGACCACGTTGTGAGGGAGATACCATTCCCATTTTAAAGTGAGGTGAGAGGGACCGATAACTGCCTTGAAAATAGCAGACTGTGATTTGGTAGAGACCCCGGTGTCACAATGTCCATCATGTGAGGACCCTCCAAGGGAGGGTCTGCCATGCAGCGCAGCACTTGGTGTGAGGAAGTCCTCAGTGTTACTGCTTAGAGTGTCTTTGCATTGGTTGAGTTGTGTTTTACCTGTGCCATGCTGGGATAGGGGGTCACCTCCATGTGCAAGTACAGACATAATACATTTCTTTGGGCAGATGGCTGCAGTCTTTGACCTCTGCTGCCTGTTTCAGCTGCATGCTGTCAGAGAGCAGCTGTTTGGAAAGAAGTTGTGGTTCATCCTCATTGAGAGCTGATGCTCTATGGGCTTAGGCTTGGAACCCTCCCATTGGAAAAAAGGAATGTGCTTCAGTTTTGCTAGAGGGAGAAATGGGGTATTGGGTGGGGCAGCTCCCAGAACACCCTTGGGTACTCTGTGTTTTGCAAGGTGCTGCATCTATGGGGAAAGGCAAAGGAAAGGCAGAAAATATGGAAAGAAGTGGCTTCTGATTGTCACATTCCTTGAGCTGTTCCTCATGTTGCCTGTCTGCCATGGAGCATGATGCATTTTTGGCAGTAGTGATGCCCCAGTAGTAGCTACCAAGCTGGCAAGGTGAGGGTCCCAATACTAGTAAGAAGTGGAAGTGAGAACTTGTTTTCCACTTCTGATGTTGGTTTAAGAGAAGGATCATAGTAGCAGCCTGCAGAGTGAAAGAAGCCTTGGGTCCTCAAGGCTGATCTTGACCTCTAGGCTGCCTTCATAGTTTTGGAGAGGAGGGACTGGTGGCTTCTGGACACATGTGTTCCCCTTTTCAATCTGTGTCCTAATCTTCTGAGCCACCTGAGGCAGGTTTGAGGTGCTCCTGGGTAGCTGATTTACCCTGGTAAGGGGTGGGGTTGGGCAAGTCTATGATTAGCTGGGAAGTGCTGCAGAATCGAGGGCTAGAAGTAGCCAGTTCCATCTCAGATGACGATGATGATGAGTGTGTGTATATGTTTTCCTGTGGTACTGGAGTTTGAACCCAAGTCGTTGCAGTTGGTAGGCAGGCGCTGTACTGAGATGTTGTGTTTGGAGGATAGTGGTACCTAGCATGTGCTTTCCCCTTCCCAAGGAGTGCCTTCTGTGGAGGGACTTGGACAGAATCCCACATGGTTTTTAGTTCTCTGAGGAGAGCAAGTTGATGCTGAGGAACATTGGGTGCAGACAGGTGTGAGGCCAATGCTGTGCGAGCGTGTTGCAGGCTTTTCTGCAGGATGACAGGTGGCAGTGGGGTGCACAGTGCAGCTGTTTTGAAGGGAGGTTCAAAGGGCAGTGCATGGGGGAGGAAGTGCTGGTGTGGAAACTGTAAGTTTTGGACATGTATTGCTCAGGTCTTCTCAGTCGTGCATTCTTCTGTGACTGGATCACATTCTTCACTTGTTTGGTGTGACCCAGGACCTTTTAAAAAAAAAAGTTATTTGAATGTTGTGACAGGTTGTGCATTCAGTCCCCAACAGCTAGGTCATAGGCAGAATGCATTCTCTCAGAGTCATGGGGAATGTGTTCGCTGAGAGGAGAAAGGCCTGTTTGGGTTCATGATTACTGTGTGGTCGGCTTCTGTACTTGACCTTGGTTGCATTTATATAGTTGTACATAATCTGTTTTCATTTGTGTTAGTCCAGAAAGATTTCCTAATGTTTAAACTGAAAATTTTATTTGAAGAAATGTCAAGTTGTTTTGAGTGTGTTAAGAGAGATACTTAAAACTGGGTGGGGCATGGTGGTTCATGCCTGTAATCGAAGCTACTCAGAAGTCTAAGGCAAGAGAATAACTTGAGCTCATAAGTTCAAGACCAGTTTGGGCAGCATAGTGATACCCTCTCCTACACACAACACGCATAAAAAAGCATAGACACTAAATTCATTACAAGGGAGCAGTTCTTTTTTTCTTGCTTTGTAGTCCAGGCTGGCCTTGAACTTGTGAAGGGATTGATTTTTTTTTTTTTTTTTGGTGATACTGGGGTTTGAACTCAGGTCATCATGCTTGCTAGGCAGGTGCTTTACTGCTTGAGCCACTCCAGCAGCCCTTTTTTGTACTGAGTATTTTTGAGATAGGGTCTCTCAAACTGTTTGCTCTGGCTGGCTTTGAACCTTGATCCTCCTGATGTCTGCCTCTCGAGTGGGATTGACTCTTTTATGGGTTTCAAATCCCTTATCAGAACACTGGATTCAATCCTGAATCAGGACTGTGTTTAGATAGTTGGATTATACAGAGACCCACAAAAGCTAGAGCTGCCAGTCCTACAGATTCTATATATTAAAAAAAGGACAAGCCTGACTTTCGCAGGGCACTAGTGAGCATGAGTGTGTGTTTTCCACCTGGAGTTTTGCCAAGGGGCTTGATAAAGGTGGGTGTGTGGTTCTTGGGTGGCTTGGTGACTTCCTTCATTCCTCAGACTGGATCAGTGCCCTCTGTGCCAGCCTCTGTGCTAAGGACTTGGCCTAGTCTGTTTCAAATCAGCTTGCAGCCTGAAGGGAATCAAAATATATAAAGATGTGGTTTGCAGTTCTGTTTAGATACCAAGGATGTTGGTTCTGGAGGTGTACATCTTCCATGTGCCCAGGAGACTGTGGCAGGTCTGCTCACCTCAGGGAGGGCTGGTTGTCTCAGCAGGATTTAAGACAGAATTCAGCCAGCTAAAAGCATAGTTTTTACAGTGAATTAATTGTTAAAGTTCTTGTCTTTAGGCATTTTTTTCTCTTTTGGAACTGACTTTACTGCAGTAGAAAGTTGTAGCTCCAAGTGACAGCTGGGTATTGGATGCTGTCAGAGACGGCCGGTTAGATTTGCAGAGAAATTTTGAAGCTTCCTGAAATTCTTAACCAAGTCTTTGACATGCAGTGGAAACGTATGAGGCAGGGGCTTGAGCTATCTTTTCAGTTTGGAAGACCTGGAATGGGAGAGAGTGTGGGAGTGCAGGGAACAGAAATTACCATGATCATTGTACCTCCCAATGTTACTCTGGAGCCTGAGTCCTAGGT